GTAACTCCCTGCTCTCCATGTGTCAGTATATAATGCCTGCATCTGTAACTTTCACTCTATGCATCTGAAGAAGTGAGGTTTTTACCCACAAAAGCTTATGCCCAAATAAATCGGTTAGTCTTTAAGGTGCCACCAGACTCCTTGTTGTTTTTGTAGATACAGACTAACACGGCTACCCCGATACTTGACACCTAAAAGTGAAAACAGGCATTCGCATGGCACAGTTGTAGCAGACGTCACAAGATATTTACATGCCAGATGCACTAAAGATTCATATGGCCCTTTATGCTTCAACCACCATTCCAGAGGACATGCGTCCATGCTGATGACAGGTTCTGCTGGATAACAATCCAAAGCAGTGAGGACCAACGTGTTCATTTTCATCATCTGAGTCACATGCCACCGGCAGAAGGTTTATTTTCTTTTTTGGTGGTTCAGGTTCTGTAGTTTCCGCATCCGAGTGTTGCTCTTTTAAGAGTTCTGAAAGCAAGCTCTACACCGTGTCCCTCTCAGATTTTGGAAGGCATTTCAGATTCGTAAACCTTGGGACGAGTGCTGTAGCTATCTTCAGAAATCTCACATTGGTACCTTCCTTGTGTTCTGTCAAATCTGCAGTGAGTGTTTTTAAAACGAACAACATGTGCTGGGTCATCATCTGAGATTGCTATAGCATAAAATATATGGCAGAATTTGGGTAAAACAGCAGGAGGCATACAATTCTCCCCCCAGGAGTTCGTCACAAATTTAATTAACTACTTTTTTTTTTTTTTTAAATGAGCATCATCAGTATGGAAGCACGTCCTCTGGAATGGTGGCCAAAGCATGAAGGGGCATATGAATGTTCACCGTATCTGGCATGCAAATACCTTGCAATGCCAACTACAAAAGTGCCATGCAAACACCTGTTCTCACTTTTGGGTTACATTATAAATAAGAAGCAGGCAGCATTATCTCCTGTAAATGTAAACAAACTTGTTTATATTAGCAATTGGCTGGACAAGAAGTAGGACTGAGTGGGCCTTGTAGGCTCTAAAGTTTTACATTGTTTTGTTTTTGAGTGCAGTTATTTTACAAAAAAAATCAGTATTAGTAAGGTGCACTTTCACAATAGAGATTGAACTACAGTACTTGTATGAGGTGAATTGAAAAATACTATTTTTTATATTCACTGTGCAAATATTTGTAATCAAAATAATAGAAAGTGAGCACTGAAATTTAATACATATTTTTGGAGGTTTTCTACATTGTTAAATATTTATTTCAATTACAACACAGAATACAAAATGCAATCAATATTCTATGGTTTAACAGTGAGATTAAAACTGATTAATTGCGATTAATTTTTAAAATCAAGATTAATTTTGAGTTAATTGCATGTTACTGGGATTGATCAACAGCCCTATTATCAACATGAAAACGAACACAGAGAAGACACCTTGTTGGATATTTCTGCTGCTCATATTATTGACACTTAGATTCCAAGGTGGTAGACCCCTTAGCATTTCTTTACATTGACAACTTTACAAGTCTGCATGCCAAGTCATTTGACATATCCTACCTCTTCATACACAAAGGTGAAAATCCTGGCCCCATTGAAGTCAATGACAAAACTACCACAGACTTCAATAAAGCCCGGATTTCACCTCAGGTGTCAATCACGTGGTCCAAAATTATGCCACCTAAAGTAAGTTGATAGCTGCATGAAAATAGCAAGTATTAATCTGTCTTTATGACACCTGCATACAAAGTTAAGTATTTTCCTTATCTGTAAAATGGGGAAGAGAGCCAAATTCATCCATGGTATAACTCTTGAAATTAATGGAGCTACAGCAGGGATGAATCTGACTCAGAGGTTAAGCCAGAGGCTTAAGGTCACTAAGGGAGCTGCGTCAGCAAAGGCTTTACAACAACTCAAGTGTTCCTGGCTGTAAGGCCCTGAGCTCAATCTATAAAACCATGCAAGATTACAAACAGTAAGGTATCCACCCTTATTTAAGCTATAATTAGGGAGAAATCCTTCTAGTCCTTACCTATATCACGGTGAGACAGTGAACTGCTTAAGGCATTTCTGAGGCAGAGTTCTAGTCCTCCCACAGAGAAACTAAAGAGCAAACGCTACTAAATATGCTTAAATCGCACCTAGTGTCAGTTTCCTCCTTTATAAAGAAAAGGTGGGGCACTATAAACATGAACATTTCTAATCTCGCAATATTAAAAGCTTTACCAAATCTTGATAGTTTAATATCTCAACACTTGCAGTTCACTGGAAGACATGAAAGCAAGCTAAATGGTTCAGAAAGACTTAATACTCAATAGCTGTTTCATTCCGAGAAATTAAAAGTGTGAAGTTTCTTAGTGAAATGTAGTAACAGCTTAGACACCTGAAAATTGGAAGCAGTAATTTACTAAAACACAAAATATTACTCCAAGAGTAAATGTTTGCTATCTCCGTTTTTTTTAAAAGGCGGTTTTTATATCTTCTCATTTCATATGTTTAACTCCCATTAATGGGAATGTGCATATATCAAAAGAATAGAACCCCATCAGTGAGAAATGAAGCTGGCATCCACTTCTGTCCCCATTACGGCAACTGAAAAAAAAAAAGCTAGTATTGAATAGAATCACTGGTATTTCTAATTTGTCGTGTTTGGAGGTGGTGGAAGAGGGATTGAGGAGGAAAAAAAAAAGTCATAAATTAGCAACACAAAAGGAAAGACTGACGGTATCAACTACCTCAAAGCACAGACTTGACAAAGAATCTTCAACCCTGGATTCCAGATTGACCTAGGGGGTTCAGCTACAGCTGCAAGGTTAGTAGAGAAGACATACTTGGGTAGCAGTGTCACACCTTCACTTATTCACATTAGACATGCGTATCAGCTCCAGAAAGTCTTCAGGAGTGTAGACTCTGCAATGTTGAAACAGTCACCAATGAACAGTGGCTGAAGATGCCAGCTATAAGTATAATATAGCATCTGAAAGGAATGGCTCAGCTGTATAAAGCAGAACCTTTGAATACTTCAGGAATGATAGTATAGTTCCTGAAAAGTAAAGCAACTCTTCAAAGAAACCATTTATCTGCCCAATGCCATCAGACTGCTGCAATAAAAATCCAACAAAACAGGACCTTCCTTGACATTTTATGTGCAACGAAGCTAAGCATCTTATTCGTGGTTCCCCTTTCATTTCATTATACATACTAATGAAAAATGAAGGTTACTTGGAACCCAAGTTGAGAAGACTCTGCATATTTACACCTATGGATGTGGCATTGTCTGGTGGCACCTAACAGTAGACCCTCCTCCAAGCAGTGCCCCTTAGAACCCATGTGCACTGCCTTCTCCTCACATCAGCATTTCCAAACATTCCCAGGGCAAGGCTATATAAGGAGGTACTGCACTACCACCTCAGTTCCTTCCACCGCTAACTGGGA